AAAAATTTACATTTTGACCAAACTTTTCTAGATGGCCATGTACAGGCACTGGCATGACAAAAAACTGTGAGGACTATCTACACCTCACAAGGGGTTTTCTTCATTTGTGTCATTGTGATGTCCCTCATAACCCTTCTAGGGAAAGACTTTGTTGATACTATATGGATCCCTCTGCTCTAAATCCTTTATTGGAGTGGTCCAAAAGATCTACAGGCTGCTTACGTATTTCTTTATAACATTCAGAGAATGAAAAAAAAAATCACAATTTAAATGTTAGATTTGTGTAAGCATTTATATTCCTGGGAGCTGTACCCAAACCTGAAAGACTGGTACTCAAGTTCATTAGCTTTTGGGGTGTGAATGTGTCTTCCTAATTATTGACTTAATAGCTACAAATAGCCTTAAACATTTTAGCTGTGGACACTTATTACTTAGGAAAATTAATTTCGATGAAAATAATTAAAGGTAGGTTTTGATGAGGATATTATGAGCATATCCATTGGCTAGAAAAAACGTAAAAAATAATCAAAGATTTTCTACTTTCTGAATCAATCTTCCTTAAAATCAAAGCAAACTATTACTTATCATGTAGAGAAAAAAATTCTCAAAACTCTCTAACTAATATATACCTAAACAATTTTCATACGCCCTGAAATCATCACCTCGTTATGGGCACCTGATGCCCTGACAGGCAGAAATGGAGCACAAAAGTTGAGACATGTTTGTTTGGGAATAGATTGAATTAAAAGACATGGATGCTACATTGTGTCAGCTTTAGCAAACTGAATGATTGTAACCAAATTAGGTAATTGCTGTGGGTCCAGATAATTGATTGATCATTCATTAACCAAAAACCCATCAGTATCCCTACTATGTGCCTTAAGCCCCTAAGCTTTTTGGTGGGGGCACTTGAGTTTATGCTATATGCTGATTCCCCTTTTGTCTTTTCTTTAGCAAGTAGAAGGATCTATTTCTACCCCAACTAACTCCACTTCTCTCTCAAAAATAAATACATTAAAAAAATCATAAACCTATGAACGAGCTATCTCTGGAAATGGGAGTAGAGGGGACTTCCTATTGCATGATTGTTTTTATTTTCTAGATCTCTTTTCTGTTTTTTTTAAAGTATTTCCCCCTTTTCATTTCATTTCTCTTTTTTATTCTTTTTTGTATTTCTCTTTTTCTCTATTTAGTATAATTTCAAACCAAAGCCATTTGAATTTAAATTAGTATTAAACAGAACGGTGAGCATTCAAGTGTTTCTAAAATGCCAACAAAAGCTTTCTCCATACATATAAAAACTTTAATGTTACACAGTTCATTTAAAATGTCCAACAAGTCTGCTAAAGAATACGTGAGCAGGGGTTCCTGGGGGGCTCAGTCGGTTAAGCATCCAACTCTTGATTTTGGCTCAGGTCAAGATCACAGGGTTCTTGGGATCGAACCCTCTGTAGTGCTCTGCGCTGACAGTGCCAACTCTGCTCTCTCTCTGACCCTCCCCCACCTAAACTTTTTTCACATGTTCTTATGTTTTATTTATTCTTAAAAAAATAATACATTTTGGCAAAGATGCTTTTCAGAGCTATACCTGAAGCATTCTAATGTCCTCACACCAGCAGGTAAGTAGTTCTATGAATAAATTGATTACAATATTTATAAAGCCTTACTGCTAAGCTCATTTGTAACTTTTGGAGTTAAGAAGAAGCATCATATCTGATTCTTTTAAATTTATATATATATATTTTCTTCTAAGCTAGCTTAAGTTATTGACTCCATCCTTTTCATGACCCTTAAAATACTGTATTAGCTAAATGTTCACACTTGTCCTTTTTAGCTTTAAAAGAAATGTCACATTTTAGGTTTCTGTAAATGACCCACATTCGGTTGTGAACCAAACGTAATAGCTTCTGCCATTCACCAGGCAGTGAATTGCTTCAAATGTAGGACACAGGGCAGAGGACTTTGTAAATTACTTTGTTTCATTGGCCATCATCAGAACCTGTGGTATAATATGTGACCTATTTGTATAAACAATAATGCCTAAGGCTTTATGGACAGGTGGAATACAGTTTTTCTTTTAATTACATTTTGAAGAAATAATTTAAAAATGTAAAATTTTCAGACACTTTGAATAGTTATATTGTTAAAAGAAATCCAAATCTGCAGCCATCATCATGTAATGATATAGACTATCATAACATATTAGCTTTTTATTAAAGAGTAACACAAGCCTATAAAAATTGCTAAAATAACACAATGAACTTCTTCTCCTAATTTCACTAAAGTTTTTCCATATTTGTTTTTCCCTTTCTCTTCTCTCATCTAGTATGATTTAGTATCTTCATTTTTATACGATTCAACCTGATCTTTATATACACATGCTTACAATGGCAGAAAAAGCATGAAACAAAATGTGTATCTGTGTGTGTGTGTGTGTGTGTGTGTGTGTTATTTCTGACCCATTCGAGAATAACAAAGTTTCATGAGTCAATATGGTCATGGAAAGTTTAAACTCCATATTTCATTGACTGTCTCCAATTTGTTGATACAACGTTGCCCAATGCCCAGTTTATTTATGCAATTGAAGCTGTTTTGTCATTAAATGTCTTTATAGAAATGTTCTTAACATTTAGTTGGACTCTAACTTTCTAAAAAGAACTGGAAAAGTGAAAGTTTAAGATATGTACCAACTTTGATCAATATGGCCTGCCTAAATATCCAAATGGAAAAAATAACTCACTTTTGGGTAAATGTTATATTGCTTGACTGATCATATTATCAAATGAATTATATAATTATCAACACTCTATTTTTAAAATTTTGCCCTAATAACTACAGACTATTTTTTCCTTTTTTGTGTAAACTGGCTCTACAGACATGGAAAATATGCTAAACACTAGTAATGATTAGTGAGTTGACTCATTCACAACCCATCATAAAGCTTTTTCACTGGAAAATGCCACTCAATATGGCAAGAAAAAATTGTAAAAGTAAAACTAAAATGCAGTCAATCTTTGTACAGCTTTCCACATTCTAATGTGCCATTTTGTTCTCTGTTCAAACATTTGTGTACCATCCTGTAAATCCCAGCTTGGATGTTTACATAATTATTCTTTCACACAGAATGAAGGAGATGTAAAGAAGAGACAGACATTTTCTGGGCAAAAGGAACAGAAGCTAGCAGAAACAGGACTGTGATTCCTAATTAATTCAAAGTTAATTGCATTGTTGATAATCGTGCACTTAAAATCTTCATATGGAAAATGTTTATGGCAGCAAATTGACAGTAATTTAAGTACATTAAATCTTACTACCATTAAAAGAAAAAGATGAATGTTACATTAAGCAAGTTTAAGAGAATGGTAAAGTCTAGTTCTTGTTTAACAAAACAAGTAGCAAATCATTCAAATGGCCAACCTAGAATCTCAAAGCACAGTTAAGAGTAGTAGTTGAATTTCAAGATGGTACCAAGCCATATGGCCTGTCTTGGGCCATCAGTGACACTGGCTGGCAATTTTGCTTTTATTTCCACACTGTGATGAGCACAAAATAGTGAGGGGGGAAATAAAAGACACATAGATCTTATTTGGCAAGTAGGGTCAACAAATCTATTTTCTTATTTTGGAAAGAATCAAGATAGTGTTCGTTAAATGAAGATACATGTTCAATTGGCTATTTTCACTGAAGAGCTACATGGTGGAATGAAATGAACCTTGGCATTAGCTCTGGGTTTAAATGCTGCTTTGTTATAAACAGCAAGACTATTTTTTTTTTAATTTTAGTGTCTTATTATGTAAAAGACATGATTAAGGGAAAGTGAGAAGAAATAATGGATGTGAATGACCACCGCTACAAATGGGAATCCAATAAATTTTAGTTTTAATAATCTACCCAATTTAAAGCAAAATATAATTATCTTTATCATTGAAATTAAATACTTACAACTCTCTACTTTGTATAGAAAGGCATTTCCACGTAATGCTTAACTATCTTAGTACTCTAATACGTAACTTGGGCTTTTTGCAATAACATTTCAGATGGGTGGGTTATTGATACCGTGATGCATTGGGGTTCTTGACGTGGCCTACAGACTCGTAGTGAAACAATTTTGTGCTTTTTAAACTAATTCCAAATATACATGGTGAGCCAAAAGTACATTAAGTCACCGGATAAATATGATATTTCCCTAGAGTTTCAATTTTGTTCAAAGTTTTACAAGACAAAGCATATGATATTAAAGCAAATATACTGATTGATCAGGAATAGAATACATATTTTCTTTTTCCTGAACTTAAGCATATTTGGTAGAAAGATGTTATAAGCGTTGGCCCAATTGATATTTATAATACTCACCTCAATGTTACTAATGAAGTATTTTTCAGTAAGGTATTTTGTTGTCACTTTACTACTGTCACAAGAAAAGCAGTGCATTTCTAAATTACTAGTTGAAGCTGTTTTCGGAAGTGGGAGATGATTAAATGAAAGTTTATCCATTTAGGAGGTTCACTAAACTGGTCCATTTATCATTCATGTTGGAAAACAACCAACTCAGCAAAACTGCTGTGCCAACAGAGCTGGTCCAATGGGGTTTCTACCAAAGTGAGTCTAAAACCAACTCACTGAGAAAGAAAGAAATCCAAATTTAAGTTTCCTTTGACAAAGCCCTCATATTTGAATTAACGTGGATATCCATAATACAAACTAATGGCTAAATATTGCTTAATTTCCTACAGCCTATTGCTTAAACGTCAAAAATCAGAAATAGTAGGCTTACAGGAGATAACTACAAAATAAACAGATTATTCTTTGATGTTTAGTGGAGGAAATGATTCATTATTTCTGGAAATTTAGTCAAATGTTTCCTGAAAAATAAATGGGAATGATGAACTAGAATAGAATAAATAGAAACCGACAAAAGAAACATAAATTGTTTAACACTTTTGTCAGAAAAAATGTTTACAGTATTTGGGGAATAAAATAACAGGTGGTTTTGTTCTCAGATTGCACAATGATTCTTGGATATTAGATGTATTTCAACGCATCCATAGTGAAGAAAGCAAGTTTTTCATACCGTATGATTTGGAGATTTCCAATCAGGAGCTCAGTAACATAGTGAAAAGGTCTGAGCAATGGAGAGGAATCAATGGTAACAGAAGGAAGGTGAGTTGGTTTGAAGTAGATTTGTTTTTTGACTGCACAAGAGAAACGTATTCTGTTAGCCTATCAGTACGTTGTTAAATTTCCTCACATTGTTCTTGAAGCCATTTATTATTGAATTTGACTGCCACCATGATACAAATCTTGCAACTCAACTGTATATTGATTATTTTTTATGAGTTGAAATGAGGAAACACAGCCAGGTATTTCTTAGAGTGCTGCAGTGTTATTTTCTTACAGAAATATTTATTGATACCTGCTGTATATATATTGGGCAAAATTATACAAGGGTTGTAAAGAATATAAAAGAAGTGAGTGATGGATTTCCCATATGTGACATAATAGTTGGCTTCAGTGTCATCTTGGGAGAACAGGAGGAAGAGAATATTATTTCTGGTTTTCTCCTTTGATGCCTTTGTTAGTCAGCCCTCTTGATTTTCTTCCCTCTTTCAATAATCTCCTTTACGGACTTCTCCATTGGCTTCTTCAGCCTCTTTTGTGTTAATATCTTCCAGGGCTCTGTATTTGGTTTATTTCTCTTCTTACTAGACACACTATCCTTTCTTTAACCCCCTTTGAAATGCGTCTTTCATCCTTCCAAAGATTATCAAATGTGTATCTCAAGGCTACACCTCTATTCTGAGTTCTAAAGTAATATAATCCAACAGCCTACTTGATGTCTTTCAGTGCATGCCTCAAAGATACCTAAAATCCAGTATGTTCCAAACAAAATTGACTTCACACATATTGTTAATTAACAAATGCATTTTGCTTGTGCCACGAAACTACAGCACTTACACATCCATAATGCACATGGCATTTTCATCTGTTCAATCATAAAGATCCAAAACTCCGAGTATTCCTAGACTCTTCTTTGTCTCCTAGTTTTTTTTTTTTCCAATTTGATCATCCAGTTAGTTCCACTGATTTTACTTTCTTAGTATCGACACTTCTCTATTTCATTTACTACTGTATGTCTATGACCTCCATATCCATCTTCTGAAGAATAGCAATACTTTGCTAACTACTTCACCTTCAGTCTCCTGCTACATTTGTCACATCGTCATACTGGCCATGAATTCATTCTTTAGAATATTTAGAAATATTTAGAATATTTCTAAAATCTGACCCTGCATTTCCTTGTCATAAACCCTTTGCTGGAAGAACAATTGCCCATTGCCTGAAGAATAAAAGCCAAAATGCATACTATTATGTTTTTGCCGTTTGATGTGATTCTCCAGGGATGTCTCCTGTATCCATATTCCTCCCCTCCCTTCTTGGCCTTCTTCTGGCCAAATGCTTCCTACTAAAATACCAGTAGGCCACTCAAAAATAAGGATAATTTGCTAAATGTGTTATACTGTTGTATATTACCATCCATTGCTCTCTGTTTGGGGGAGCGCCTTCCAAGTCCTCAGATACTATCTGGCAAACTATTTCTTCTCCCAGGCTTATCTTGAATGTTGCTTCTCTAGGGTCTTTCCAGAGAGGACCATCTCCTTTTTGCCAAAACCTGGTTGACCTGACCCTTCTAACACATAAATTGACAATTACTTGCCTGTGTTTCCCTCTTCTTCTTTAAATTAAGATCTTCTTGTGCAATAGAGTGGCTCCTCCATCTTTGTGTTCTCCATCTTTAATAGTATCTGCAGAACATAGTACATTTTTACTGCCTATTCATTCAGTGCATAAACTAACGCATGCATGAATGATTGAATAACTGAATAGATTTCATTGTCCATATAACATACATATAATCTACCTCATTCCGTTTTCTACATGATAGGGACCTAAACATTAGCTTGAAAAAAATTTTCACATGGATTTGCTATTAATATATGCAATATGTTTTGAACTCTGTTAATTTGATAGATAAATATAACATTACAGGAGACGTTTTCATGACGGCTGTCCCTGATTTGAAAGAAAACATATTTCACGTTACCATATATTCATCCTGGTTTCTTCTTCAAAAATCCTTGGCAACAGCATAATTTTTAAAAGGCCCAAATTGTTGGGGCACCCAGCTGGCTCAGTTGATAGAGCATGCAATTCTGGATATCAGGGTTGTGAGTTTGAGCCCCACATTGGGTGTAGAGATTACTTAAAAAAGATAAACAGAATTTAAAAAGGCTCAAATTGTTGAAATAATCCTAAAAGTTAAGCAAAGAGCCCTTTCATCATAGGATATTGTCAAAGTGGCTGGGGTAAGTAGAGTGTGTTTACTTCATTATTATATTTCACAAGATAGTTTAGGAATTTGGAAGCAATCCAAAGTTGAATACCAAAATGATTTCAGTTGAATAATAAGGGGAGATGGATGGGGATAAAAAGGGAGAGAAAAAAATGAATGTTTAGATGCTAGAAAGAAAATTAATGGAGATTGTGAAATTCCTTAATTCTTTAAAATTAATATTAATTCCCTTCTTTATAAAATGGCTTGGCTGGCCCATGATGGACAACTGTACAGTGTATACAGTGTATACACATTGAGATGGATCAGAGAAAAGAAAATTTGTTTAAATGCAGTTAAAGTAAATAATTTAATCAAAGGCATTTGTGTCTCAAGTAAAATATTTTGGCTTAGATTCTTTGGGGCCATTAACAGAAATTAATATTTCTAGATCAATTGCTGTTGTTTATTCCCCAACATGAAGAAACTTGGCATCCATCAGTGATGAGATTCACAGAGATATTCATACAAATCATTTGAAAATCTGTAGAGCACCTGTTATTTCTTGTTGTGGGGGTGATGTTTATTAAGCATACAGAAACATTCTTAAATTTAAATGATTGTTGTGTCTCTTTGTGACCTAATATTTATACTATGAATACTTCCTCTTACTTATGATTAATTTTTAATGTTCTTCTTATTAACCTGTTTTGTGTTTGTCTGCTTAGTTTATTTCAACAGGGAAGCAAGATAGTCCTGTTGAACCATTGATGTACTAATTTCAAGATACAATGCTGGTTTAATTTTGACTAATCATCTATAACCTAAAATGCTAAATTAAGAGTGGAATAGACACTTGAACATCAAAGTGTTTCAAATAAGTAGTCTAGAATTTTTATGATTTAAAAATTTGATCTAGATCTTTGCCATCATACTAGCTATTAAGCACACGCTTCTCATTTTTATGCTCTGGATTAAAAATTGCCACACAAATGGACACTTTATAATATGCTTAATTTCCTTTTATTAAATTGATAAATGCAAAAGCACAGAACACATTTACACTCTGATGAGAATTTAGGATTATTGCATTTTGTAATTTTTATATTGTTCATACATATAATTTGTCATTTGCACAAAGACAGCCACATGATAATTTCAAAGTATTTTGACCATTTTTTTAAAAGGAAAAGGTCACTTTCAGTAGTCAGAAAAGACATCATTCTATTAAACTAATTTGCCTACATGCAAATTTTGTCATTTTTACCTCATTAACTATTTATCATGAGTAAAAATATATATATTCATGAAGGGGCAGCTCACAGCCTGATGAAATTGGAACTAATATTTTGCAACTCTAATGATTTTTTGCATCCTTAATTAGATAGCATAAGGTTGATATGATTAGGTCAGGATGTAGTGTTTTTCATTAAAATACATTTTAGAAGCTGTATTCATAATCTGCCCTTGCAATTAAATAATGAGCCTATGAATTTAATATTATCTACCCAATTATTATCCCATGCAAACGTATACCTTTAATAAATTTGTGCCCTAGGACCTTCATTAACAACAGTAGAAATGATATTTCTAGGTACATAGATTGAATGGCTATGGTTAAACTTATGTAATGGTTTTAAACATATCAGGAAGCCAAGCTTCAATACTTAGGAGCTTAATTCCAAAATGTGCCTTACTATTTGTTGAAGACTAATTTACATTGTAATTATTTTCTTAAAGAAACTACCACTTTAAAAGGGGCTATTGAAGCTCATAAAAATAGCGGAATGTTAGACTGAGAGGAAGGTGGGAGAAAGTTGTGCCTCGTGGGACAGTGGACCATAAAGTTAGAGATCCATTCAAGTAGAGTAATTGGAAAGCATAAAACTTAAAATGTCTATTTCTCAAGTGTCTGTATTATCTGGGGAACTACCCGATGCTATTAATGAAGATTATTATTTTTGTAGTTGTACATTAAGATAGTTTTTATTAATAGATGGCTAGACAATGGGATTATATGAGGGACTCTTATTATGAATGTAGACGGGGGAACACAAGCACCCAGACATGTACCCTGCTTTGTCTTCTTTGTATAGGTGTTGCTATTTATGTACTACTTTTGTGCACTTGCATAGTGACTGTAACAATGTTTCAGTTCTTTAGTTCATTCTTGATGAAATTCTGTTATGAAGGTTACATACAATGTATAATTTTTAATAAAAGGAGATAATTAAGAAAAGCTGAATTTACATTTAGTAAATTATACAGCAAGCATTGAACCCTAAGCATTGTTATTGACACAACATGTCACAATTGTGTTACGATGTGGCTACACTGTTTTCCTAGAAATACTATGCCTTTCTACTTGGGGGATGCAGTCAGGGAGGAAGAAAAGCTTCAGCAGGATCATGAGTGGCAAGGTGGTAGCAAATAGATAAAATGGAAGCCTGTTGATGGGGATTTGGCATGGAGATGCTTTATAGTGTCTTTATTTTCCACACTGAAGAGACCGTGAGTAGAGGTATAGTAGCAGGAAATGCCAGGGCAAGTTTGAAAACTGAAAGCAATTTGTTTGGGCTGGAACAAAGGGCAAAGGGCAGAAGAAAGGGAAAGATCAGCCTGGAGGAGTTTAACTGAAAATGTGCACAAGAGTGGGGGCTATATTTTTATGATAGGCAATGGAAGGCCATTGAAAGCTTTAGTAAAAAGGAGGGAATTCATTCAGTTAAGACTTTGGGTTGCCTTTGGACTGAATTCTGTAATTTGCTTATTTTAAAGTTCCAAAATTTTTAATGCACTCAGTCTAATAATACATAGTTCAATTTTCCAC